TCATCCCTGTAGACTATTCAATGTTAGGCACCATACACAGAAAACAAATATCATTTCAGTCTTTTGTTCCATCCTCAACGATAGACCATATCAAATCATGTGCACATCAAACGTCCTGGCATACACATATGTATTCATTTACTAATGACTGCTTTTATATCTTTTGCCTCTAAACACTTTTAGACTCTTAAAGGACGTCAGATACTATTATTCGTTTTGCTCTAAATACATACTTCTCGAAAATTGACTTCTTGTACTTCAGACTATGCAACGAGCTAACTATCACGATTAATCTACCTAGGATCCCAGTTTCTGCATCCACTTTGTTTCATGGGTGCTGATGCTTCTCTCTCCCGTGTAACACTCACGTTGGTGCTTCGATCCATAAAAAGAGTCTTCAAGCGAATCATACTTTATTTAGGTCTGAGCTGCGAATTAGCACAAGTTATACTTTGCCCAACGAAATTTTGAGATGCGGCGCACCTATATCTCCCAGCAAAGACGTCTCCGGTTCAGTACAACCAAAAGAGTTAAGTTATATTCAACAGGTTCCACTGTCGAGGTTCATCGTGCCCTACATTCCTCGGGGAAGGAAGTCTGTTCGTACAATTGACTTTCTACATGCATGTATATATATGCATGCGCTTATGTAATTTTTAGTCAAAATGACAGCGCTGGTGCTAGCTAAAAGACCTAACAAGCATGTAGCTCGATAAGTGTATTCGTTGCAAGTGTGATTACTTAGATACAGCAAAGTCACCGCGGTCCCATTAAACCGCATTGTCGCAGACAAGGCATTGACAATCATCAATGCCAATAGAAGCGAAGAGACGAGTCCCAGGAAGTAGTCTTGAAGAAGGAGACACGATCGCCCGGACAAGAGCTTTATTAGCCTGACGTTTCGGATTCCTACTCGAATCCATCATCAGAGACAAGAAAGCAGAATCGCATGGCAGAACTGCAAAATCAGCCGACTTTCAGTGAGAGCCTTCAACACACTAGTCTTCAACTCGAAGCCATTCCTCCTTCCACCACCCCCGGTACAATCTTGTGTGACGTATCGCACGGTGCCTCCCGACCCGTAGTGCCAAGAGAGATGAGACGAGATGTCTTTGCCGCGTTGCACAATCTAGCTCACCCTGGCATCCGCACTACCCAGCGCCTCGTCAGCAAGCGGTTCGTTTGGCCAAGCATGAACACTGATATACGCCAGTGGACCCGTTCATGTTTGGCCTGTCAGAAAGCCAAAGTCGGACGACACAATAAAGCCCCCATTTTCACTTTTCTCGCACCCGACGCACGTTTTTCACATGTCCATATCGATCTGGTAGGTCCCTTTCCAACATCTCGTGGTTGCAACTACTTACTTACTGCAATTGACCGATTTACTCGTTGGCCCATTGCAACTCCCATACCTAACATAACTGCAGATTCCGTTGTCCATGCTTTTTTGGAACACTGGATCTCTCATTATGGCGTCCCCTCAACCATTACCACCGATCGAGGTCAACAATTCGAGTCTAGACTGTTTAACAGCCTTACCAACCTCCTTGGATGTTCTCGCATACGCACGACAGCATACCACCCCTCATCCAACGGTTTAGTCGACCGTTTCCACCGGCAACTCAAAGCCTCGCTCCGAGCTCATGACAACCCTTCCCATTGGAACGAGCATCTGCCTTTGGTCATGCTCGGTATCCGTACCGCACTCAAGCCCGACTTGGAGTGTTCCGCTGCCGAACTTGTCTAAGGTACTACCCTACGGATTCCAGGTGATTTTTTCGGGTACTCTCAAAGCTCAGCCGACTTGGATCCCAGCGATTATGTGCAAAGATTGCGCCAAGCCATGACTCATCTTCGAGCCACTCCTCCACGTCCTTCAACAAGTAAGTCGTACGTCGACCCGAACTTACTAACATGTTCTTTTGTATTTGTCCGCATAGATAGCGTTCGCCGGCCACTACAACAGCCCTATGACGGCCCATTTCGAGTACTATCGCGCAAGGACAAGCACTTTACAATTGACCGTGGAGGCCGCACCGACGTGGTCTCAATCGATCGCTTAAAGGCGGCTTATACCGAGCCTCTTCCAACTTCTGCAACCGAACAACCTCCACTTGGCACATTGCCACTAACTATTTCCCAGACTCCATTTACGCCCAATAACCCTGCGTCTTCCCTTATCCCACAGACTCCTCCCCTTACGCGCAGTGGTCGTCATGTCCGTTTTCCCGACCGTTACCAACTTGTACAATATGCATAACACTCCCACATTTTCCTTCGATTAACAATAATATTTTGAACTCCGTTCTCCTAGGAGGGGAAGTATTGTAGTGACATTTAAGCCTGTTTTGCTTTAATCAGTTACAATACGCTTTGACACAACTTTGAATAAGACAAAGAACAAGCACGTGCACTTTTACCTGCCGACGACTTTGTTCTTATTTACTAGTTTGTAAATGTTGGGATACTGCAATTTTCGTTTCCTGGATAGTTTACTCGCTGTGCCCAAATAGTGGGTTTGTATCTTACACAACCATCACGCCAGCATCGAACGCACGTGATGAAATTGCAGTAATTATCGACTCGAATGTCGGCCATCAAGTCATTATCACACCAAGTGCGACGTTCCCGGATGAAGTGGGGAGCCGTGAATGTTCATAGGTATGCGGTAGCATGGCTACTGCATCCTATAAATACCGCAGCCCCTTCTGCAACAACC